TTAAGCCGGACGGCAATTTCATTAGCCGCGCCGTCGAGCGGCCGTCGTCTCGTCGTGGTCGTCGTTGGCATTCCGCCGGGCTGACATAATTTGAATTGCGTTTCGCTCTGACGCAAGCGCATTCTTCGCGAAAATTAGTTTCGTCGGTATGCATCGGGGAATCCTGTTTGCAACGTGCTCGCGCGCGCCTCGCGCGATATGACATGCGTGTGCGCCGCACGTGAGGAGAAGTAATTACGCGGGCAGCGAGGAGCGTCGCGCTTGCCTACGAAAAGCCGAGCGCGTCCGTTCGAACCGCGTCCGCTCGCTCAAGGATAATTTACGGACTTGAGTTTAATGCCCGCGGAATCTCGCGGAACCTCGCCGCTCGGCACGTGCTCTATCACTCGTGTGTATCTCTGTGTGGCCCTGAAACCTCCTTCGCTCTTCCGATGCAACATCATCCCCCCCGCGCGCGCTGATGAATTTCAACCGCGTCGGGGTTGAAAGTGAGACACGCGTGCCGATGAGGAGGCGAACGGCCTGCAACTCGGCCGATGAAGGATTTTTCTCGTCGTAGGGAGGAATCCTCGTCCTCGTGACCCTCGCGACGCACGGATCCTTCCTTCGAGGAGAAAACTGCTTGTCAGGGTGGGAAAGCAAAGTCGAGCGGCTGAATCTCGTCTAAACCGCGCGAGCTCCGAAAAGAAGGATTTTCGCAAAGCTTTCGCGTTATAGTGCGAAAAGTTTACCATGGAAAATATCCAGTACCATTCCTTTCATACTTCCTTCATAGGATAGGTTAAAGATATCCACGTATCGTGTGTTTTAAAAAACGCAGTTCGACAATTTTGAGGTATGCAGGCTGTTGAGATATTTTTCATATTTTTGAAATTTATTATATTATAATTCGCTTATATATATTATATTTATTATATTATATATTATAAAAGTATAAATTTTCGAGATTCTCCATTCTTCGATGAAATTTGCAAGATCAATGCAGAGGCAACATTTTGACTCGGGTACAGACAAGAAACAGGGGAATAAATCTTTCTTTCTTTCTTCGAGAGCTTGAGGAGGATCATCGCGGTGTTTGACGAATTTTCGATTCCTCTCGTCACAAAGGCAACGGCGAACACGTGCGAGCACGGAGAGAGAGAGAGAGAAAAGGAGAGAGAGGGAGAGGGAGAGGGAGAGAGAGAGAGAGAGAGAGAGAGAGAGAGAGAGAGAGAGAGAGAGAGAGAGAGAGAGAGAGTCGTGTATCACGAATAACGCGCGCGTTAACGGTCTTCGTACGGCACTGTATACGGCAAGCTCTTACCGTATGTAGTACGTAGTTACATAGAGGTAATGGCCGGGCACGGTGCGCGGCACACGCAGACAGGAGCGCGTTTCAACGTACACCTGTGCGAGAGAAGAGGATACCGTAAAGAGGCGCGCACGATTAACTTTTCAGTGTGTCGGAGCGCGTCCGACTGTTACACGCGCTCTCTTCGCCGCTCGACGTGTCTCCTCAGCATTGTGGAAAATCTACATAAATCGTGCGCGATCCTCGAGCGAAACTTTCGGCTCGTCCTGCTCCGGGAGCAGGAAGAAATACGCGTTCTTTCATTTCTCTCCTTTCATCGTAACTTTTCGTCGTAACTCGCCGGCCCCGAACAAGTGAAAGCTGAAAGCGCTCGAAGCTAATCGCGTTCTTCGCGGTTCTTCGGCAAATTATCCGTCTATGTATCTGTGTACAAGTATAATCGTCTCTTTCAGATTGTCAGCTAATAGAAAACGGCCGTTTAGCTGCGTTTAAACTTTGCATTTTTATTCGTCTTCCACTCTGTCGGTGTTACGGTGATTTTAAAGACGCGCGATATGCGATTGCAATTAGCGTATAAATTATGAAACATTGAACGATGATTATATATCAGGTAGAAGTGAAATTTGAGAGAAGAAACTTGGCTTCTTCTTCTGCAACAGAAGAATTCGCTTGTTTCGCGTATCGCGAACACTCGAATATTTTAACAAAATTATAACTCTCGTATATTTCTCTCAGTCTTTTATATATTGATATTTAAGATATCCATATTTTGTAACTTAACGACGGTGTCGTTACCGTTACATCGCCGCTCAACTTTTCCATCACATATCCCAGCCGCGCAACGACGAAGCAACGATAACTCTCGTTAAAAGCGAACAAGTGAAGGTAAGAGGGGGAGAACGCGGATAATATTATTAAATAATATTATTCAAATAGGTCTCCGATCGCGGGATAATATCGTTTCATCTGCGTTGAAAAAAAAAATTGCTTTAAAACTAAACAAATATTTGTTCGAATACGACTGTGAATAAATTTATTAATAAATTAAGCGACTAACTTCTAACCATAAAATACAGAGGTTCTCTCTGAATGTAAACTTTTTTCTTAGGTTTTGAAAAATAATTGCTTAATTTAAGTAAATGCATTCACAGTCGAAATATTCGAACAAATATTTGTATTAAAATTAAAATTTTAATATCTTCTCAGTGTGGGAAACGCAAGAGCTGGATCCAGGGAGCGATTGAGCGATTCCGAGCGGAAACTTTTCCGAGTAGCTTCACGGCCCGGCCCGGCCCGGCCCGGCCGAGTTCTGCCGAGTTTCCGAGGTTGAGAAGTGCTCGCTCTCGCAGCTGCGAGTCGCCGAGAGCGCGCGCGATGCACACGAAAGCTCGCGTGTATGCACCGGTGCCTCTCGAGGCGAGGAGATATGCTCTACCTGGGAGGCAGGTACAGCAGGCGCATCGCCCTGCGCCTGGTGCGCCTGCTGCGCGAAGCGAACCCAATTTAGCTAGCCGCTCTCGTACGGTCGCGCTGCGTTAACATTGCAACATCGATGGAATTTGTAATAAAAGAGCAGCGGCGGCAGCTTTTCGATCCCGGGCCGATCTCGCCGCGCGGCCGATCTGACCTCGCGAGCCGCGCGCTGCACTTGGCAAATTATAGTTTGCGCCAACTGCAAGAATAACTGCATTTTAATGCCGCGCTCTTCGGGGTTAAGGAACCATGAGAAGGAGAAGGAGCAGGAGGAGGAGCGAGGAGGATATATTATTAGCTGATTGCGGGAAATTAACGTTTCTGCACATTCTGCCGGCGAGATGCGTATGATTTTACATATTTACGTTTCCTCGGGTAGATCCTCCCCCCGTCCTCTCTCCCCGAGTACTCGTCCGGGGTATCCTCGATTCTCTCACCTGGAGCGGTTCCGGCGCGCCTCGAGCGTACGTTTCGAATGACTCCACGTGTACAAGGCGGCTTCGTTTGTTCTTCTCAAGTTGTGGATCGAGTAATGATCGCTCGAAGGGGCTGAAGGGACGTTAGGTCCTAACAAGAACATACGAGAAAATTGACCGACCGCGCAGATCGGCAGATTACCCGGACGGGACAAATCTGTAATGAAGCGCGGCGAGGGGCAAGAAGTAATATTGCGGTTGCGAGGAGCGTTGGGCAACGAGGTGGGCAAAGAAGCGGGGGAAGTGTTGTTGAGAAACACAAGCGGTGTGGCGCAAGAAGTAGGAGGGAAGTCCGCGATTCCGGAGGCTGCGCTCGCGTCGGGAATTCTTTCCGCGCTGTGTGAGCCGTTCGACGCCTTCGAATTTCCTCGCCATTGTATCAAACGAAATTTGATTTCTCGGCGGCGGAGCGCCGGCGAGAGTATCGACGTGATTGCGTCACAAGTCCTTCTTTGTTTAATAATAATATCCTATTCTTCTCCCCTCTCTTTCTCTCTCTCTCTCTCTCTTCCTCTCCGCCTCTTTTTCTTTCTTTTCTTTTCTTAGACTATGTCGCGTGTCTGTGCGTTGCATAATTCTTCGTGCGAAAGACCAGGCGAGAGAAGCTTTCGGGGAAAAATGGTAATTGTGAAATAATTACACGTGGAATTCAAAATTACACGACTCCTGCGGAACGCTGGAGTGTACAGTAAGCTCCGAAAATTCCTCTCCCTCCCATCCCCTAGGATGGTGAAATTTCCGGTCGGACGTATCATCATAATCTGTACCATCATAAATATTCACACACCATTACTGTCGACTATTGATTAATCATTAATCCGTCATTGTAACCGAAAATCTCAAAGCTAGGAAATGAAGCTAAGCAGGAGCTGATGGTGTGGAGCGCGAAAAGACAAACGGGCTCCCCTCCGGGATTCCCCTTCGTCGTCTCCGAAGAATCGCGTCTGCAGTCGCGATCGCGCGGCAACCTCGTCGCGCTTCGAATATCTCGCCGCGCGCGCGCGCGCGCGCGACTTGATAAATGGAAAAGCGGAACGCGAATGGGCGCAGGTGAGAAAAGGAGAAACACACGCGCGGTAAATGCGCGAGCGTGCCAGAAGGCGCGAGAGAAGGAGAGTCGCGCGAGAGACTCGCACGGCGAGAACGGAGGCGAGAGGGAGGCGCCGGTGAGAGCCCTGCCCTGCTCGAGAACATTCCGGCCGGCGTGTTGTGTTTGTAAACCGCGGGAAACAAATAAATTTAGGCACGCCGCGATTTGCCATGCATGCGCGCTCACAGGCGCGCCGCCGCGACTTTCCCGGCCGCGCCGCGCCACGCCGGGGAGGGTCCGCCGCGCGGCGAGAAATCCGCGCTCGCGCTCCTCCTTCCTGCGTACGCAGCTGCGAGCCTGAAAGAGCGAGCGAGGAGCTCGGTGGAAAAGCAACAGGAAAATCTCTCTCGCGCGCGCTCTTATCCGACCGTGCAATCGATCTCGATCAGCCGGCGCACCGGCGCCGGCAACGCCATTTGATTTCCACGTGCGAACGCGAGCTTCGCGCACGAACACACATTTCCCGCCGCCGAGACGAAGGCGCGCGCGAGGTGATCGATCTCTCCCGCGTCAATTTCGCGAATTCGCCGCGGTGAAGAAATCGCGAGCGGCGAGAGGGAGAGATAAGGAGGAAAAGCGGCCGAGAGGGAGCGAGAGAAGGAAGCTGCGCGCCGCGGATAGGAGACACGTATATCGCGGGATGGGGAGAGAGAGAGAGGGAGGGAGAGAGAGAGAGAGAGAGAGAGAGAAGAAGAAGAGAAAGAGGCAGGAGCAGGTAGGAGCACCGGCGGTACCTGCAACCTACCTGTGCTCCTCGGCGCGCGCGACTCCAGTCACCGATCGAACGCTCGACAGATCGGCCGCGCGGTGCGTTTCTTCGGCGATTTCGCGATCACGATCGCGGAAGAGAACTCGCGAGATCGTACTCGCGGTATGTTCGACCAGTGCCCGGCGCGGTCCCCGCGGATTATGTGTGCGGTAAAGGCAGCAATAAAACAGGACCAATCCTAACCGGTAGGGAGCAATCGCAAGCGATCGTGCAATCATTTCGCGCTTCTTTTCGCCGAGAGATATGTGTCGAGAGGTAGAAGCTCGTTCGATTTCCTTCTTCGCGTCTTGCTGAGCTCGAGTGACTCGCGAGAGGGAGAGAGAGAGAGAGAGAGAGAGAGAGAGAGAGAGAGAGAGAGGGAGAGAGAGGGAGAGGAAGACAATTCGGAGGGTCGAAGTGGTGGTGAACCCAACAGAGTGTCGGTGAGTTTGTTGACGACGTCGGGCAGGAGTATCTCCGGGAAATTACTTCCCGCCGCTTTTCTTCCTATTTCCCGGGCGTTTTTCAGCTGACTTCGCCTTTAGTTTCTCCCCGCGTTCGCGTTTTACATCGCCACGCGAGCGAATGAAACTCGCGGCGATCGGCGCGGCGTGAGGCTCAATTTTCCGTATCGCGAGCGTGTAAAATTGAAGCCGGCGAAATTATAGCGGTATATCAAGCCGCTCGCCTGCATGGCTGCCTCCGCGCTCGCGCGAGTTGCGAAAAGAAGTAGAAAGCGGAGAGAGAGAGAGAGAGAGAGAGAGAGAGAGAGAGAGAGAGAGAGAGAGAGAGAGAGAGAGAGAGAGAGAGAGAGAGAGAGAGAAACATCGGGCGCTGAGCGAAGCCGAGAAAAGCGTTGCTCGCGCGAGGCGCAAACGGATGCCGCGAGAAGGTAGCAGCCGGCCGGAGCATGTCTTTCGACGTGGACATAATAATGATCTCCGTCGAAACGCCGCGAGTGTGCTCCGCGGAGGTCTCGCAGGCCGCCGCTGTGTGAGAGCCGTTACACATGTTTATTCACGAGCACGCGAGAACCGGAGGAGAGACTCGGCCGGGACGTTTTAATGGGCGCCGCGATTAATTCGAGATTAACGCGCCGCGCAGTTTTTCACGTGTCGCCTGCACGTTCCTCCAGCGGAAAATATTTTCACCCTCGACTGAGAATTTTCATTGTTGCCTCTTGAAAATCAGCCGCGCGCATTAATTTCAAGAGAGAGAAACGGGGGAGGGAGGGAGAAAGAGAGAGCTCGACGCGACCGGAAAATTGCACGGAATTTCCGCGCTCCGACTCGGGAAACTTCGCGTACTTTCCTGCGGGCGTCCCGCGTCTTGCCGCATGTGCTTTCAGCGATCGCACGGCGGATTGATCCCGTCGTTTTGCAACGAGCAGCCGTGGGGGGAAGGGGAGGAAACGTGAACGGGCGCGCTCCGCTTTTAACTCCAAATCGAAAACTCACCACCCGTCGAGGCCGGCTCGCGCCGCCATTGATGAGGCGCCGATTGATCGATGAATTTTGCAACGACGTGCCACAAATGAATCCGGCCGTGACGATCTGGAAACCGGACTCGCCGATTTAGTACGCGGCGACTTGTGCATGATACCCCATTACGATTCGCGATGCAGCGCGAATTATCCGCTCGTTGTTTCTTTCCCCGTTTTTTCCCACCTCCTCTCGCCTCGCTCGGCGTTCGATGTCTTCTTCTACGCGAATCTCGCTAATCTCCCGAGTAATGTTTCCTCTCGTGCCATTCGTCAGCGAACGGACGATTATCGTGGACGGTTTCACGGCAGCCGACGATCACAACGCGTGTCACAGCGTGTTCCTCGTCGCGGGAATAGAGAAGCAACGCTGCTCGATCGAATCGCAACGCCAGTTAAAACCGCGATTGTGATATCAGCGGTTACCCGCGTTTCCGCGGATGACTAAGTTCGTCGGTTCGTTAATTTTGCGAACTACTCGCAAAATGCGAATTTTCGAGAGAGAACTCGACGAATGAGGGAAGCTCGTGATTTGGCGAGAGTGTATCTTCGCGGATACACCGACGAATATCGAGGATGAGAGAATAACGGTGTGGCGTCGCGGAAAGAAATTCGTCCCGTTCTGCTTGAGTCGTGAATCCAATTTCCTTTTCTTCCTCGACATCGTTAGAGTTGGCGAATGGAGCGACGGAAAAAGCACGGGCGAGCACAAGGCATAAATTATTCCCGACTGTGCGAGCTCTCTTCCTGCAGAACAACAACGGTCGCCGCGAATATAATTCCGCCCCATTCTGCTTCAGTCGCGAATCTAATTTCTTCCTCTTTCCCGATATCGTTAGAATTCGCGCGAGGCGCGAGGCGCCGAGAGACGAGAGAGAACGCGACTTACTCCCGACTGTGTGTGATCCTGCCCCTGTTATTAAACACTAATGGTATCTTCTCTCGCTTCGTTTCCAGGTAATTACGATCCCGAGCACATCGCCGGCCTGATCAGCGATTACAACGTAAACGAGCCGATGACTGATTCTCCACCGTGGCGACAATAACCGGGCAGCGAGGCGTTACCGTCGACTCATCGCGCAGTTACGATCGATTCATGCCGCGCAACGGAGACGGCGATTACATTTTTGCATGATCATTCCCACGATACCATTCCCCGTCGACTAAGGACACTCATCGAGGACAACGATTGAATTCTTATCCGTGCATTTACACGTGTTTACGCCGCGCGCAAGCTTCGAGGTCGGCTTCGAAATCGAAGGAGAAGGCAGAGTCCCTTCTCGCAGCGAGAGATAACAGTCAGAAAACGGTACGCTCCAAGTGTTTGTGTAACACCGTCACCGCGACGAAGGCAACAGCGCGCAGGATCTCTCGCGGAGGCACGTATCGCGCGCGCGGTATCGGGACGCTAATTCGACGCGAGGGAAAAATGCACCGGCGCAAGGCTGCGGCGACGAGCGAAAAGTCGCGGGACATTTGCAAACCGAGCGGAGAAGGCGATCGCAGCCGCGACTGAGGCAGTGCCTGCCAGGTGTCCACCTTGGGGTGAAAGAAACGAGCGAGCGGGAGAGATTACAGAAAATTGTCCTCGCCGAGCGAGGATAATCAACGGTGCATAATCGCGTCCGGAGGAGAGCAGTTTCTTCCCGTAAAGCAGCCAGCAATGCGCTAATCGCCCGGCTCGCGCGCAGCTGCAACATGGAGGACGCGGTGATCGCGCTCGACTCCACCGTGAGGAGCCAGCACTCGAGCCACTCGAAGGAGTCGAAGGACTCGGCCAACTCGGAATCGAAGCCGGAGAGCTGCCTCGAATCGAAGCACTCCAAGGATGTGCTCATCCCGGAGAAGCACCAGCGCCAGCAGCAGCAGCATCACCAGCCGCGGCAACGCGCCGCTGACGACCGGCAGGATCATCGTCTGCCGGCCTCCGAGGCCAAGGACGACTCGAACCTGCTGATGTTCACGTCCTGCGGACAGCTGTTGCTCGGTGAGTCGCTCCGGATCGTCGGCAGGACAGGTTGTGATTTTCAGGCCTGACTTTCGCATAGTTTATTCTCTCCTCCCATTAAAAGAAGGACGCGAACACGTCCTGAGACGCGCACGTAGTAAATTATGGACAGGATTCTTGTTCACGACCGCACAACAAAGTAGTCTCCTCGACGTCGTGTCCTGTGATGTGTAGTCTCGTCGGTATCGGTTTCCGTCAATCGACGCGCGGTGATTGAGATCCCGTAATAAATAGAACAATGCGGCGAGCACAGGAGAGACCGAGCGTCGTAAGTAGGCTATCGACTAGGCGATTTGAAGCGGATAGCCCACATTGTGTGCACCGCCGGTCGGGCTGTGCCGACAGTTATCGCGTATTTAACGATTGAGCGCTCGCATTCGTCGTGGGTCTTAATTATTGCTTAATTATCGCAAATCGGTAAATTGATACATATTAAACTCTATATCTAAACGGAAGTGAGAAAGAAGAAAAAGATTTAATAACGTGAAAAATCTACGTACGATTTGCCATTGGTAAATAAAAAAAATGCAATAAAGTTATAACGGTAATATCGCGTATACGTGCGTTTCGATTTTTCGTTATTTTAATTGCGGTGTCTCTCATCAGATTCACATCGTATGATCGCATCGATCGAGGAACGTTATGTTGTCCAATTTACGCTAATGTATACTTTTCGTTACTCCATTTAATTTTACTATTTTCTAATACATAAATTAGAATGCATCAGAATATATTAGAACATAGCTGTCCGTCGTGTATTCCAGGCGTTTCTAACGAAGCGTAATTTGCCTCACGAACGGACGTCTCGCGTTTAACTAAGAGAGAGAGAGAAGGCGAGAGAAGGCGAGAGAGAGAGAGAGGGCGAGAGAGAGGGAGGGAGAGGGAGAGAGAGAGAGAGAGAGGAAGAGAGGAATTAATTAAGAGAATTCCCGCAACGGAATGAACAGCGGTGCGTTTTAGGCGGCGGGTCTCTCGTGCATGCGCGTTTCAGCGAGAAATCACGAGCGCCGAATGCGCATAAATCAGAAACCGACGTAAGAGAGTGAAAACATTTCACTTAGAAAGTCGTACACATGCAACTCATTTTGCGCGCGCGGCCGTAAAGCACCGTGTTTTTGCGTCACTGCAATTTATTCCGCCGCGATGCGAGATCTCGCGATCGTCGACGGCGACACGGTCATTGTCTCGGACGATGCTTCGCCGATGCTTTCACACCTGGCGTCGCTCGATAAGCACCGGCCAGGCACATCGGAGGGAGGCTTGCGATGAGCCGTGCGCGTACGCCGGAGAGCAGGAACTCGCTCATTATAATTAAGAAGAACGCTCGCGGTGTCAAAGGAGCGAGAGAAAGGATTCGCGTCGCCTTGAGCATCCTCGAGGCGACATCGAATTGCGATCGAATTGTGATCGGTTCCTCTTCGTGTTCCTGAGTTACGTACGTATACATGCATCTGGTCCTTTCAGGCGTCGTCCTGGTGGTCTTCGGCGTTCTGGTGCTCGTCCACGGTGCGTCCTTAGGCGGCTCCGGCGCAGGACTCTGGGCTGGTGCGGGTGCTCTGGTCGCCGGCGCGCTCGGAGTGGTCGCCACCTTGGCGACGTCCTCCACCAAGACGAATTCCGCCTTCTCCTCCGCTCACCTCGCGTCCAGCCTGATCGCCCTCGCCCTCTCGAACATGGCCGCGATCACGGCCTTGACGGCGGTGGTCAGGGACTCGCAAAGGACGCCGGAAGTGTCGCTCCTCAGTCTCTCGGTACGTATGTTCCCTCGAGTTCTTCTTATCCGTCGCAGGATCGGGAGATCACTTCGAGGTTCCTGGGCTCCCATACGACGACCTACGAGAGCTGACGCAGGCTGATTCTCGCGTGTCGATTCACTCCGCGATTCCGGGTTCATTCACGGCCAAGTGGACTGAAATACGTAGCGCCGGGGAGAAATCCACAAAGAGAGCGATTCTAAAAGTCAACCTTGCAAGCGGCGAGAATATTATAGCGTTTCCTCCTCTTTATATTATTTTTCTGAACGTTATCTTTCTCCGGTTGTCAGCGTTGTCAGCAGAGTTTACCTTGCCGAAGCCTAAAGAATAATATAACTCCTTTGATAAACTTCAGTTTCTAAACTATAACAAAATAGAGAGAAAAATATGTCTCTCCTCGGTCGCAAAATTCTGCATTTAATTGGACATGTTCACTATAAAATTCTCTCCGCGTAGCGTTGATTTCATATCGAGGGGATAGGACCTCCAATGAGTCGGCGGAGATCCAGGACGAGCCCAGGTGACGCTAAGAGTGCACGCTTCCTCGTCCACCGTCTGCTCGCGCGGGCCAGCGGCGCGAGTCCGATAAAGATCGAGAGTGCATCTCCCCGACGCTAATTAACTCTCCGCGGGCCCCGTGGAGCTTGATCGCTAATTAACGCGAGAAGCCGCCGTCGCCGCCGCCGCGAGAATGACCCTGATTCGCCGTCGACGTGTCGGCAGCAGCCGGCCGTGGCGGCCGTCGACGGCCGGTTTTGGCGAACGAACGCACGGCTCACGCCCGATGGAACCGTTTGACCGTCGGAGAAAGTTCCCAATGCCAAGGCTAAAACGCGGTCAGGCCGCGGTGCGCGGCATGAAATTCCACGGATCATGAGCGCGGAACGTATAGGAAGTTACTTGGCGGCTAACGCTCGGCGCTCGCATTAGCGAAGTAGCGAAGTAGCTAGCTAGCTAGCTAGCTAGCTAGCGCGGTACCGAAGCGTGCTTCCTTCTCCCGACTTATTCCTCGCGAAATTACAAGAGAGAGAAGTTCCGCGATCTCTCAATGCGAAGTACCGTCCCGCCCCCCCCCCTCCTCGTTTCGTTTCGCGAAGGAAACTTGCGGACGATCTTGAGCGTCGACCATACACACCGGGACGTGGAATCCACTCGTTCGTTGTCTTCATCGAAGGATCTCCAGATGTACTAAACAGATGTCACATGTTTCCAGGGCGACGACGGTAACGTGGTGGAAGTGGACGGTGGCTTAGCGGGTCTGCTGGCGAGCATCGGGCTGCTGGTGGCCAGCGTGGCCGAGCTGCTGGTTTCCGGCTACAGTTGCCTGACCTTGACACCGAAGCTCTGCGGCTGTCTGCGAGCCAACGGCGCGGACGAGACGGGGAGCGAGGGCCACCTGAAGACTCGCAACATGGTCCACCAGTGGGTGATCGCGCAGAACCACGTGTCCAAGAACCAGCCGATTTACGTGGTGCAGCCGGTGGTGCCGATGCATCCGATGATCCAGGTGAGTGTGCGACTCTCCTCTCCCACGACCTCCAACAGCTGCGACCTCGCGAGCGGTAGAATGAGCGGCAGGGAGGGAGAGACAGGGGATAGGTCAGTGACACGCGCTAGAAAGTTCAAGCCGATCGCCCGATCGCCGAGGAGAAACTCTCGCGAGCGAGTGAGCGCGCCTTCGTGGTATCTCGCGTCTACGGGTCTGCCGGGAAAATCTCGCTCGAGGACGCGAACGCCGCGAACGTCGATGCGGGAGGACGTTCCTTGAAGAAACAGAAATCGCATTAAATCGCTCCAAAGAATGTTTCATTCGTGATGAAAAATAGCGCGCAATCTTAAAGCGTGAATCATTTGGAAAAATTCCTATTGGTTAAAACTCGTGTATTATAAGTGATAGAATATCTTCGACATCTTTAATTAGAGCCTAAGAAATCTTTAGCTAAGAACGTGATAAGTGATGTATTAAGATGTATTAAGTGATAAAATGTAAAAATAGAGCGTGCATTTTTTTAAGTAACTACCTGAAATATATCAGCGTTCCCGCAGATTGTAGTCTCTAACTGTGAGAACTGTGAGAGTGACATGGACATAGATATGCCAGCGAGTTCTTTTGACGTTGTTTATCTCAGCATATATATATATATATATATATATTGTAGTCCAGTAATTAGGAAGATTGTGTGTGAGAGAAAATAAAATACAAAGAGTATAATTACAGCCGCCGTACGGTATGCCGCCAGCACCGCCTGGCAAATTCCCCGGCGGATTCGTGCCTGCTGGACCTCTTCCGATCTCCGCACCGGCGTACGGACCCGTTCCCGTGTTGCCCCACATGCCGTACGCGGGGCGACCGTCGTCTCAAATGGTGAGTGAGTCCCCGATGATGGAAGTTCATAAACGGTGTACAAGCCGCGTAACGCTTCAACGAAGCGAGCGTAATGGCATCTTGCTAAGCTGCTGGATAACACCACGCGGTTCAATGACGAAGAACGCGAAATATACGTACACTTGAAACTGTCGAGCGGACGCTGAAATAACGCGCTTTTCTGCGAGATAAATCTGTACGAATAGCATGCCCCGGTTTACTCTTCGAGAATTGACCGGGCGTCTCGACTTTCAGTTCCGGACGAACAAGCACAAGCGTCAGCAAGTCCCGGACCAGGAGGAACCGGAAAGGAAGCGGCAGGTGGAAGTTAAGAGCGAGTCCCCGAAGAGGATGTCGTCGATCGGCGAGGATCAGGTCGACCTGGCGCAGACCTACACGGGCTTGGACAAGAGGATCTCCGAGGAGTTCATTTCGATCGCGATGGATCCAGACAGAAAGTCAAAGGCTTCCAGCAATCACGGTAGCGAAATCGGGACGACGAAGACTTTTTGATCAGTTTCGATCGACAAAGCTGGAAAACTTTGCACTGTATAAGAGAGTGAGGTATACATTAGCGACTTACAAAATCCATTTTACATAAATAGGATTTTTTAGTTCGTGCGAATCACGAATTTATCTCACTCCTGCACCGAGTCTTTTGATTTCGAACGATATTAGGGCAGTGTTTATCGCGATGTTTTATTAAGATCAGATTACGATTCGATAAAGCGTTCGAGAAGAAATTCGCGATTTCGGAGAGCGAAGACATGCGATCGAAGATATTTCCTTGTCTTAGATACACATTTTGAAAGTTTTCATGAGACTGTGGAAACACAAATCCTTCGATTACGTCGCTGATAAGTCCGTTAGTGTAACGTTTATTTATTCTCGCGGATCTCTGTTGCGAATGTGCGAAGAATGCTGACATTCGCGACGCAGGTGCGTGACGAAATTTTGCCCTGGCGTTAAATGTCATTAGGTGCACGGAGAAGGATTGTAATCGATGACTCATGCGCCGACGAAATGCCAAGGCGTGTACTATTATTGTTGTCAACGGTGGGACGGACAATCCTGTTATTTCATTGTTAAACATCAACTGCCGAGCGCCTCCAATTTTAAAGGTTCAATTTAATAAGTCGAAAAACACCAAGACTTAATTAAGATCGTATAACTTGCATAACATAAAAAAAAAAAGAATAAAACCGGCGAGCATGAAGATTCACGATAATATATATAATTATAACTGTACGTTTTTCAGAATACTGTCTTGTTTTGCGGACAAGATAAGATCTGAATTTACCTGACGGCTACCTGAAGCACACGCTCAACCTTCTTCTATCACGTCTCACACACGTTCGCTAACACACTTAAAGTGAAAATTGCTCACTATAGCCTGAGCTATATTCTCAATGATATCTATATTATTACTTAATATAATGCATATATTGACACTCATAAAATATTTTAAATGAACAGCTGTTAGCGAACGCGTCAAATCATTTTATACGAATCAGCAGGATGTACTGTCGTAAATTTTAACAGCGAAGATAATATTTACGCGCGCGCTACGCGAGATTTCATTCCGTCTCGACGATGGAAGACGAAGGTTGAGTTGCGCTGTGCTAATTCGTTAAGTAGAAATAGAGACATATGTAATTACAAGATACACAATAACAGTGTTCTCATCGCCGGCTCATGTTTCTTACTTCAGTCTTGATAAGATGATGATTATTTAACGATTATTAAACTGATCATATTACACTGTACAGTCATAGTTTACTTACTTACACGCCTCCCCAGGTATCACTCTAACCATTATTTGTACATACGTATACGTATATTTATAACATATTTTGTTATATAATACTATGAAATAAAATTATAATACAAATGTTAAATCCCTCAATGATAAGCTTTTGGCGATGGCTTAAACTAAACTGACTTTTCAAGAATGTTCTTTTAATTTTGCGATTCGATATATACAAGATGCTCTAAATAAAAAGCTTACGGAGCAAATGTGGAAAACTGACGTAACGATCGATTATGTCGATAATGCAGCGCCATTGCAATGCTTTCTGCTGCAGAACATAACCTGCAAATTACTATTTTCATACCTATACTCTATTGTGCACTTGACATTATTTTATAATGAATGAATACGGCCAAAGTAGGATGAAATGCACAGCAGCTACTGTACGTAACATCGTCGTGTCATTGTAAATCGTCATGTACTTGCAGATAATTGAGCATATTAGATTTCACTTGTGTGAGTAAGAAACTTGCTGTACTTATATATAATATATATATATATATATATATATATGTATAGAAAATATACATCATGTATGAAGATAAAATTGCTTTCAGGAAGTGAAACAACGCACTTGAACACTCAGAGCATCAGTCGTTTATTACATAAGATTCCAGCGTTGCAAAAAGACTGTATCCAAGACCAATCAAGATTGTATTACTATTGTACTAAAGCGCTGCATTAAAGTACTGTATTAAAGCGCAGATTGAAAAATGACAGTAATATTAGGAGGCGGTATATCGGGCTTGTCGGCGGCATATTATGCCGTTAACAAGGCAAGACTGGCGTCCGTCGCCTTGCTCGAGGCGTCTGATCGTGTAGGTGGATGGATACGCAGCAGAAATTCACCAAGTGGAGCAGTCTTTGAGCAAGGACCAAGAACGATCAGGCCAGATGGTCCGGCTGGGACGAACACACTTAACATGGTAGAGGATCTTCAGCTGACCGACAAGTTGATCCGCATTAGACGAAGTCACCCCATTTCTTCCAACAAGTTGATATACTCAGAGCAGGCGCTGCACTTGTTACCAACATCGTTGAAGGGTTTCTTCAAGACAATTTCGCTGTTGGATCGTCCTCTGATAAATTGCTTGTGGACCGACCTGAGAGCGCCAAAGGTGTCTAAGGAGGACGAGAGCATTTACAGCTTCGTACAGAGAAGACTCGGCCAGGATATCGCGGATCGCATCATCAGCCCGATAATTTGCGGCATCTGTGCGGGTGACGCGCGTCAGATAAGCGTGAATTTCATACTCAAGTCTCTGTTCGAGGCGGAACAGAAGCACGGATCCATAATGAAAGGCTTGCTGATGAGCGGTCTGAAAAAATCGTCGAAATTAAAGAGCAAAAAAACGAAGGAGGATACCGACGAGTCTGCGGAAAATCCGCGTATAACTCTGGCGCGTATAGCCCGAATAGAAAGGTGGGCGATCTGGAGCTTGCAGGGAGGGCTTGAGCAATTGCCCTTGGCGTTGGCCGATAATCTCGTGAAGCGAGGAGTAAAGATAGAAACAGGAACGAAATGCGAACGGCTGACGTTCAAAGAGGATCGCGTGGAGCTGCTGGTGAACGGTGACATGCGAGAGTGCTCGCGGGTCATTTCGAGCTTGCCTGCTAAGAACCTGGCTGAACTGCTGCAGGAGCAGCATCCCGCGCTGTCGGCAGAGCTCAGGGCGATACCATCGGTAACGGTGGCGGTAGCCAATCTTGAGTTCTCCGGGAATGTACTACCCTTACAGGCGTTCGGCTTTCTGGTACCACCCAATGAGAATCTTCCTCTGCTGGGTGTGATCTTCGATTCTTGCATGGCGAAGGAGTCCACCGCCTCCACGGTGCGTATACGCTCTCTTCCCTCTTGCCTTTTACTTGATTTTGACAACCCAAAAGCATATTTTTTTCGTTTCTCTCATATGCTTTTCTTTCTTTTTTTATTTCTCATATGTACACAATAGGTGTTAACGGTAATGATGGGCGGTGCTTGGTTCGAGAAATACTTTGGGCCAAATCCGACGGAGGAACAGCTGTTAAAGACGGCGACTGACGGACTGAGAGATATCTTATACATCACAGACAAACCTGTGGCACACCACATCGCCGTTCTGAAGGACTGCATTCCGCAGTACGTGGTGGGTCACGATCAACGTGTGAAACGTATCCACGACTACATTTCCGCGCACAAGATTCCGCTGGCAGTATGTGGCTCCTCTTACCAAGGTGTGGGAATCAATGACGTTATTCTGTCAGCAAAACAGGCTGTTTGTGATGTTGTCAAGTGAAAAAATACAAAAAAAAAAAAAAAAAAAGAGTCTAAATTATTCGAGGCAATCGAATAAACTGTCACTATATATAATAACAATGAACAGACAGGTAGTACAACCACATGCACGCTCGGTCTACATGCTGACTCGTGTGACATGATCAAACCATGCAAAAAAGTATCGTATAAGTATGCAAACGCGTATAAAAATGATGCATAATGGAACTGAAGAAGTCTAATAAATATTCTCTAAATGAGCCATCGTATTTGTTTGTGTCTGTAATTTAAATGATAATGATGGTAAGTAAATTATTTCAAAGTGCAAACAACATATAAAAGTGACGTACAAAAATCGAGTGAAACATTTTCTTATGCAGTTTTTTATATTTGTATCACAAGTACAGTATATAGTTCGCTATATGGCGAATACAAAAAGCATCTTATTAAAAATATTAATATATATGTATAGATAAAGTATGATATAAAGTTATATTATCAGTTAATCATAGAAATCTGTCGCTTCTTTTTTTTTTATATAATAAAAAGGCAAAATACTTGTTAGAATCTCAAATTTCATATCTTTTAAACAGTATATTTGAAATAATTAAATAAATTATCTAGCTATTTGCCTCTTTTGAAAAGAAATTTTTTTTTTCCTTTTCTTTCACTTTATGCTTCCTTTTTGCTCGAAAAACCAGGTAGAAAAACTTATTTTTAAAAAGAAATACCACAAATCTTTGATGAATACAATAGTTCTTATTTTGCAAGCAGTTGTACAAGATTGTAAAATAAAGCAACAATCTGTGCCAAGTACAGCAGCAAATATAAATGAAAACAATTCTTTCATCTCTAATCGAGACACGTGCAAATCGATTATGCACACTAAGCAGAATGCATCAGAATTACTTTTGTGAACTGTTTCTAATACAAAACAAATATTTGACAAATAAAAGATAATCGAAGAAATCAAAGGATTATAAACGCAGAAAAGCTCATGTTTTTTAATTAGATAGATTATTATAGATAAATTAATATAAACTCAAACATATTTTGCATTTGGCAATAATTATAACATAACAATGCAATTTACTCTTTGACAGTACCTGCATATTTAACTTCATCGAAAGCTTTTCTTGCTTTCTTGAGTTCCTCATTCATTGTCAACAGATCTTTTACTCGGGCATATTTTCTGGAGTCCTTTCTCACTTTGGAAATACAAATAAATTATAAAATTATATATATATATTTTTTTAATGTCTATTATTAAGATATCTATCTTAGAAATTTTCTTTAATTTACCTAAAAATACTATATCTTCAACTTGAACCCGTCCTGTACGTCCAATCTCCATAGCTCTATGTGTCATCTCAGTTATATATTCAATAACTAAATCTTCTAGCAGATCAACGCTTTCTGTATAAGGATTCTGGTCATCGCCAAAACCATACATCATGCAGCGTAGTTCTTTGGAGAAAAGACGCTTTCTCCCACCAGGTAGAGTACCAAGAGAAATTTCCGCCTCTTCATCTTCAAACTAGCAAAATATTTGATGAAAATCAATAAATAAAAAAACATGTTTTGTGATAAAATGTTTATATAATTGGTGACAATTTTGAGACTTATTAGGCTGAATAATAAATACATGATGTATAATGAGAAATGATATTTGATATATTTTAAATAAAATAGATGACAATATAACCTAACCTGTTCAAAAACCTCTTCCGCAGACATCGTTTTAAAGATTAGACTTAACCGGAGTTCAGCATCAGTACTAAATTTTCCTGTTTATCTTTTTATTTATACAGATCACAATTCTTAGTATACCTGTTAAAGAGACAAACAAGCAGGTAACTCTAATTTATATCATGACGATATTTCCTATTTTCTATACATCATGACACAAAGTGTATTTAGTAGAGTTAGTAATGCAGTTAGTAGTAGTAATAGTAGTTAATAATAGGCAGATTAAATTGATTCTAATTAAAGATAAATGATTTTTAAATATGAGAACGGACTATGAACAGGCTTTGGACATACTCAGTATGCAAGCGAATTCGCTATTATTAACAGTAAATATCTTTTCAAAGTTTATATATAGGATTAAAATATTGCTGTTTTCTTTTATTATCGCATTTTGATATAAACAAATATACTAAAAACAAGTATGTTCAACATAAATAACGGGCCTACTAATTCCGTGAAATCATTATCAGCCTATTAAAAAACGAATTTAATTTCGTAAACCACAGACATAATTAAATAAAGCGTGGTCTACAATGGCAGTAAGCAGTAAGAAGTAAGCGTAAGCGGTAAGAAATAAACCAATCACAGTCGATTATGACAAAACTAATCAACTGTGGTTGGTCCATTTCTTAAGCCAGCGGCACACGGTGCTTGTTTTCGTGCTGGATGGAAATACTGCGTTCTGATTGGTGCATTTCCATCCATCTTCGGAAATGTACCAATCAGAACGCAGTATTTTCATCCAGCAAACAAACCAGCACGAAAATAAGCACCGTGTGGCGCTGGCTTTACTGTTCACGCTTTCTTCTTACTGCTTATGGCCATTGTAGACCACGCTTTAGAATAAGGCCCATCTACAACGTCTGCAAGAATAAGGTTGTAAGCGTAAGCAGTAAGAAATTGACCAACCATAATCGATTTTTCTTATAATAATAGATTGTGGTTGGTCCATTTCTTAATGCTTACGCTTAGAACCTTATTCTTGCAGCCATTGTAGATGGGCCTTACTGCGGTCGTTCGGTCGGTATATGGCTTTAGGTAGAAAGGTGTACCCATACGCCATTCTCCGATAAGAATAATGCGGGAAGCATAGGGCAAGAGCATAGGCTTTTGCATAACACATAATCCATAACGTATAAGAGAATAAACCAAATAGTTTTCTTCATTTCCCTCCTCAGGACAGAAATGAAGAACTCTGATTGGTTGATTCTCTTATGCGTTGTGTATTGTGCGTTATGCAGAAGTCTGTGCTCTGGCCCATATATTTTTGCATAAAGGCATAATACACAATACATAAGGAAATGAACCAATCAGGCACGCCGGAGACCGCCTCCTCGGTCGCCTCGGGCCTCCTCTTCGAACGCGCGGGGGGAGGAGATGACCAGTGTGTGTAGCCCACCCACCCGCCTCGCTCTGGGCGTCGATAGGAGTAGGAAAAGGGGGAGTGGAAGCCCGGTTGGGGCCGGGCATCACTCCCCCGCTCCCCTCAAAGGGGGGTGCGGAGGAAAGGGTGGGTGTTCCCTCCTTCCTGTAGTGTAACCAGAAGGCCAACCTGACCGGATAGCCGGTCAGGGACCGCGCTCCCAACTCCCTTTGTGGGGGGGGGGGGAGCGCGGTCCATAGGCGGAGGGCTCTAATAATGAGCCCTGGGGCCGGGGTGTCGGGAGTAGTTCCTCTGACTCCCCCAACCACGGTCCGAAAGGTAGACACCCCGCAGGGGTTTTAGTCAGTAGAAGTCTGACATAACCCCCGACCCGCCCAATGGTCGGGGGTATCCATGATGGATTTCCCTTGCGTGAACAAAAGAAAAAAAAACAACAGCCATGTCCACCACTGCCCGGTGCTGCAGGACACGGTGCACCATACGCAGGTCTCATGCGAAGCGTGGGACCAGCAGCGCCGTGTCCTCGCCCGGGCAATGAAGTGTGCGGCTTGCGGAGGAAGTATGGACGGCGGCGGCCTCCTTTGCGGGGGACATAATGTCCCGCGAGGAGGCCGCCGAATGGGAGCGCAGCCCTGGCAACCGTAGCAGGGAGTGACTGGGGGGAGGGCGGTTCCCTCTCGGCGTCGACAGCGGACCCGAGGTGGCGCCAATCGAGGAGCCGCCTTCGAATCGTCGGAGGCCTCGAACACCACGGGCCAGCCATCGTCTGCGCAGGGGGGGGGTCGACAGACATAATTAAAGCCTGCAACCCTCTGCGTGACGGTACGGGAGGAAAAAGAAGAGCGGGAATTCCGTTTGGGGACAGGACCCCAACTAACTCACCACTCTCTGCTGAAAAGGGGGGCTAGGAGAGAGAGTGGGTGTCCCCTCTCTCCTCTGTTAGGACCAGATGGCTAATCCGACCGGGCAACCGGTCGGGGCGCCACGCCACGCACACTTATGAGAGGGCCACGGCACTTAAGCGAGGGGCTCCCTCAAAGCCCCATGGCCGGGGTTTCGGGGAGGGAATTCACCGTAATTCCACTGATCCTCCTCCCACAACTACGGCCCACATGGCAGACACCCCGGTGGGGGTATAGCCGGTAAGAGTCCGGCATAACCCATGTCTCCCCAAGGGACGCGGGTAACCATGAGGATTTCTCCACCGTCAAAAAAAACAGCGGCTATGTAATCAGACGTCATGTGAAACAACAACCACGTGAAACGACGACCACGTGGTCGGTGACCACGACACAATCTTCTAGAACATTCTGGAATGTTCCAGAAAATTCTATAATCTTATAGAACGTTTTAGAAACGACGATCACGTGGCCTGAGGTTACGTCATGAAATTCTAGAATATTCTGGAATCTTCTAGAACTTTCTAGAATCTCCGTCGTCAGCCGACTGTACAACGTCGTTGACCGGCTCGGTCGCCTCGCGCCGGCGCCGCTGCCCCGCGGCCTCATTAGCTCTGCTACCAGCCGCGGGGCAGCGTCGCCGTCGCTCGACTCGGTCGCCTCGCGCCGACGCCGCTGCCCCGCGGCCTCATTAGCTCTGCTACCAGCCGCGGGGCAGCGTCGCTGTCGCTCGACTCGGTCGCCTCGCGCCGGCGCCGCTGCCCCGCGGCCTCATCAGTTTTTGTCCAAGTTGAAGGAAAAACCAAGACAAACATATGATTTAACTATCAGTTAACTTACCAAGAAGTTGGAACAACCGGCCCTGAGAATGTTTATTTTAGCAGAAGTAGAACGTTTCCGTTTATATTCCTTTTTTCGAATACAATATTTTACAAGATTCCGTAGCACATTTAAGAAGCCATGTTTTTTTACATTAATAACGCAATAGTTATTTTGTTCTTATTTTAAAGTCCAAATATTTACAACTACGTGCAACGCGACTATTTTTTCGACAGTAGTAGATGAGCTAATAGTTCGTTATCCTTCGGGACGGTCCACTGTATCTCTTCGCCTAGGGTAAAAAAGATATTTATCCATTTAATACAGCATATCCTCTAATTTTCTTTTTCGTACACTCGTATATAAGAGTACAACTTATATATGACATAACTCACATTCAACGGCATAATCCTCTTTGCCAGTTAAATTCAGCACGGAATTCATTTCTCGCAAACCATTGTAATCTTCAACGAAATAAAGATTCCGTTCTCCCTTCAGGGAAGTGGCAAATAGATGCTCGATGACGTCATAGTCCGCCGCGTGTTTCTGTCCTTGACTAATGACAATCGCAAACGCTTCGTGGCCGTCGTTTCTCAAATTTTGCAAGTTGTCCACGGCGGCTCGCAGATTCTCCCTGTCCTTCTCCTCGGCGATGTGTTCTCCATCTGTCACGAAAACTGTTGACCAAGTATGTAATGTAATGTAATAATTTAATACAATGACACAATATGTAAAAGAATAAAATAATTTAAAATGCAACGCAAATATATGCAAATATAATATATCTTACTTAATTATATAATGAACCCGTGTGTTTTGAAACTTCTATAGTATTTGCATAACAATAATTCTGAGTGTGGATTAAGAAGCGATTAAAAAAAATTCCTATTCCTCCGTTTCGATTTTTAAAAACACGATACGCACAAATTTCTAATTTTTAATTGAAGAAACTCGCAAGATAATAACGTTAGCTGACCTGTAATGACTCGTTGCACACCTGAATTGCGAACGACATCCGCCGACATGAGGGCCGCGTTGATCAAGTCTGTAGTTTTCCCAGCGACGCCGTCGAGATCCTCGCTGATACGAGTCGCGCGATTCGCAAGCATCTCCTTGGATAACGTCGAAAGAACATTGCAGGTGTCCGTCTGATTCAAGCTGAGGGCTACCATTGTGTTCTCCGAGAAAGTGATCAAGCCCATCGGATGGTCGTGTGACAGCCTGTGTGGCAATTCAGTCAATTTTTTTAACGAGAGTAATATTATTTTATATAATAATTATAAAAAAAAAATGTTGTCCGATCCTCACGACTTAGAAGTCGTAATGATATCGTTGGATTTTACGAGATTAAATTTCTATCAACTAATATCAATTTGTATATTTTGCTGAAGAGTGAAATATAGAAAATAGTTACGGAAAGTATCGACGAATAACGGTGGCTGCCAGCTTCATTTCCTCGGCGAACCACGCGTTCAGGACGCTCAGACTATCGTCCATCACGAAGAGTAGACCGGATCGCTCGTCTTTCGCTAGTTTACGTATTCTCCCCGCTAGATCGGTGGCTTGCTCTTGAACATCTACAACTGAAGTGCGCGATGTATTCATTTTGTAAATTTTATCTTTGCCACATACACGTGGATTTTATTGCGAGATACAAAGAAGTTCTAAGTACGAGTTTCGATCGAGCGTTTTACCGATGTTTTCCTCGATCTCGGTCTCGTTTGTCGTCGCAGTCGTCGTCATTGTCTCGTTTATCGTCGCGAATGTTGATTGCGTGGTCCTGTGCGCGGGTAAATTGCAGAGGACATATTGACTGGTTGTGTTGCAGGGCAGACCGTAGAACAAAGCCATGTCGTGACCCTCACGATCCAAATTCAGACAAATCTCGCGGTCGGCGTAAGGCCAGGAACCGTCGTCCTCGTCGAAGCACCAGGAAGTGCCTGTGCCGATGGTGCTCTTCGACAAGACTTCGTCGTTTTCGTCCACCCACTTCCAACCGTCCTGGGACATGACGGTGTGACCGCCCACCCAGGTGTGATCTAACGCTGATTTCATTTGAAACGTGTGATTAAATAATCTCAACAATACGAGTACCTCAACTTATATGACATTCTGAACGAAAGTTTAAAGTAAGTAAAATATAATTAATATAATTAAAGTAAAATTAATGTAAATTAAATATAATTAAAGTAAAATATATCGTTATAATTGTTATAGAAAAAATTGCACATACACAATCAATATATAATTATAATTTTCTATGTAATTAATGCGTGTACGATTTATAATTAGAAAGTAGGCAAACAAGTATGAGAAGTTTGTTGTTCTAATATTGATGGATGGTTCGATGGTTCTACAAATATTCGACGGTCTTCCAATTAATTTTAATAAACACGTTTCACCTACAAAGGCAGGGAACGCATACCCAATTCCGTCATCTTCTCCAATACGGCGGATAAAATCCTCGCGTCCAAGATACTGGCTACACGACCGGATCTTTTCCGGCAATAAGCTTCCCCTTGCTTCCACGTCATTCTGGCGAAGGAGAATATTAATCTCTTATCATCCAACAATACGCTTCTTCCCGCACTCTCCATTATCCTGCGTTCCGGTATCGCTGAATCCACAAGAGAAACGTTGCGTTCAGGATTTCGTCCCTACGTTTCTTACTGAGTGATCGCTCGAAGGAGCGATGACTCAGTAAGGAGCGCGTCAAGAAGGACAAATTGTTGCTTACCGTCTTGGCAAACGAAAGGCCGCTTCTTCTCGCAATCCAAGTCGAGGAAGGCCGGAGTCGTATGCTTCGCGCAAAGATGCCTGTCGAGGATCAGGCATCTTCCCGTCCGATAAGAGTCGTCGCTCTCCGACGGTGACGTAGGATGACCGTCCGACCAAGGCGGATATGAGGTGATGTTCGACTTTTTCGACGGCAGCGTAAATCCCGAAGAGGTCCACGTCCAATCGGTACCATCCACGCTGCGGCCGTCCAGCCACGCACTCTCTATTGCTGTCAACGACCGAGAACGACGAGCTTAGCTCGTGAAAGTATCTCGTCGCATAGACGAGGAGCTACTTCATATCGGCGAAGAAGCCATAAATAATCCCGACTTTCTCGATCCAATTTTACTTTCGTCGAAACGCGTGATTTCTATAAATTGAGAAGAGTGTCCAGGATGGACACACACACACACACACACACACACAGGATAGACGAAGGAGGATTCCAATCCTTCCTGAAACTACCGTCAGAATTTGCGACTCTTTGTCCAGATTCGTAATCTAGACTATAATTTCCTTTCATTTCTCGCGACTTATTCAGCAAGTCTGACGATTTCGCCCGACGCGTAATTTCGAATTACAAAGGACATCTTGCTGTCATTACACGGTCTGCTCTTCAGCATCGCGTTCGCCACGACGGTGGCCGCCTCATTCGTGAAGATCATAGCGAGTTGCTTCCGCCTCTTCTTACACTCCAGTCTCGCGTCCCTCCAGGCGATGCCACCCCCGTCGACTCTCCGCACTCCCTCGGCCCGGAGGTCCTCCTCATCCTCATCCTCATCGAAGATCTGGTACAGCGTGTACCGCTGACCGTCCACGAAGACGTTGCTGCCTTCGATGATCTTCTTTCTCGCCTTCTTTTTTCCTTCGTACAAACACGCAAATGTTTAAATCACACGGTCGCTATATTTCGTGGAAGATTTACAATCCATGGTTGAAAATATAGTTGATCGCGATCTCGTGCTCATGGGTCCACTGCTCAGTAGTTTGGACTAATGTTTTTACATGAAATAAATACAGATTACGACAAAGGAGCAGAGATTCATGAGACTGCAATTATCTAACGAATAATAACTATAAGCAGCTGCCTCGAGCATCCGAGAAGAACATCTTCCGAATTCCCAGCATCCGTGTCGAGGGAAACTTTCTCGGCCGCGATTGTTGCTCATAAAACCACGCTGCAGACAGTTTAGCGGAACGATCCTCGTAATTCTTCCCGGCCGACGTTTATACTCACGAAATAAATAACATGCACGCGACGCGGCCATAACACGCGTGCTCGGAAAAAGTCGTGCTCCGTTAAATCGAGAAGAAGAAGGCGAACTCGAGCGGAGGCAGAGTGGGACGCTCACGCGATGAGGAAGAGAGGAGAGAGAGAGAGAGAGAGAGAGAGAGAGGGAGAGAGAGGGAGAGAGAGGGAGAGAGAGAGAGAGAGAGAGAGAAGGAGAGAGCGATATCCGCCTGCGTGACTCTCGATAGAGGCGGCGGATTACACGCGGAGGAATTATCGCGAATGAAGCGACGAGAGCAGCAACAAACGTCGCGGCGATTTATGATCGTTTCAAATGAAAACGCCCCGTCGCCGCCGAATCGTTCGGCGAGAACCGCTCTCTTCCCTCGGTTCTTCTCCTTTCGCAGGTTCCTCGTCCTTCTCACCGGCTCGCATGCAGACGAAGGGCTTCCGCTGCCGGCAGTCCTCCGGGACGAGAAGCGGCGAGTCGTGGCCCAACCTGTCGAACATGAGACAATTCTTCTCGCCACTCCTGCGCTCGTCCGCGACGTACCATGCGGTATGGTCCGTGACCATCAGCGAGTTCAGCCTCAACAGCTCCTCTTTCCTTCGTGTATCGATCCAGCCCCAGTCGCTGGCGAAGTCCTTCCTCTGCCCTCCTATCCACAGGCCGTCGTATCCTGAGCCGGCCGCGACGTATATGCGGCGAAGTGATTTTGATGAAATTATTTGTGTGTGAAATGATAATTAGAAATTTGTTACGTTGGGAAATCGAGTACTGGAGTCATTCATTGTTGAGAAAAATTCCATGAGGTTGCAACGAGTGTCTTAACACATCCACACTATCACCGGTTCTTTTTAGAAACTCCACATTTTCTTTGCTCTTTATAAATATACGAAACGGACTTCTAGTTCGCTTATGCGCGACATTCGCGGGAAATGCACTTGCGTATTTATAAAACTGTAAAGAATTGGCGATCCGGCAGGAAAAAATCTCGACGCTCGCGAGAGGGAAGCGGGTGAAGAAATAAAAGTGAGAAGCGTACGGTAATTCGACTCAGCCACCATCCGCGCGAACCAATCCTTCGTGTCGCCGTCGAGCACGGCCAACGTACTTCCGCTATCCGTTTCCGGTTCGCGCGTTAGAGGATCCGGCGGGGCGTCGTGTCCCATTTCCTCGTCGGAAGCCCTGAGAGGATTTAGGTGGCCGTAAATGGGACAGATTGCCTGCGCCTCGTTCCAGGACACTCGTTTGCCGATCACGAGGAACTCCCATTGAACGTCTTCGTTTCCATTTTCCGTTTCATTACCGCTCCGAGGGGCGTACGTGAAACGATCCACGACTCGGTTGCCCGGGGCTCCTATTGGAAACGTCCCTTACGATTATCCCGCACTTTAAGACGCCCGAGCTCCTCCGACACAGCGACTTTCGGAAATCCCCCTCGGCGAGCGACCGTCTCGAGGTCTCTCCGACGAGCGTCGTCGAACGCTCGGTCGGAGATTGGAGTGACATTGCTTCTTTCAACGCGTAGCGCCGAATGTACAACGTCAATTTTGTGGAATCATTTCGATCGGATCGGTCGAAAGGTCCGGTGCGATTTATATCTTTTTCAGTCAGGTCTCGCCGAAAAATTGCTCGCGACGGAAACAAATTATTCACGGGGAATTATTCCGTGGAATATTTGCATTATACGTCATCTATCGCGAATTAGATCGGACTTTTCGGCTGACACAAGTAGACGGAAGAAGCATCAGAGCTCTGCGTGAAGATTACAAAATTAGCAGTTTCTCGGGAAACGTGAAATCTCTCTTGCCCTTTTTGATATTTATAAAATCCGCGCGCGCGCGCGAGAGAGAGAGAGAGAGAGAGAGAGAGAGAGAGAGAAAATTGGGCGCCGCACACTTGTTGATCGCGGTCCTGAAACCGTGTCGCAAGTCACGTAATATCGCCCGTGAACAAGTGCGACCACGTGAGGGCAATTAAATTTTACACTCGCAAAAATAATCTCTACGCCGCCGCTCGCGCGCGCGACAAAGTGGCTGGCGGAGTCGGAATTAATTTCCGCGAGATAAGCTCGGGGATATCGTACCTATCCGGAAGGTGACGGCTACCTCGAAGAGCCAGATGAGACGAAGAGCGCTCGAGATCATTTGTTACGGATAAACGTTAACATCAGGAGGAACAAGCGCGTCGAGAAACGGTCCCACGGGGCGTATCAGACGAGGAATTAAGCTCGACTGAGAGGCTCGGCCTCGTCGAGTCGCACCGGCAAAGTTCGCCCGGAGCGCGGCGAGCTAACGACGCTCGCAATCGGTTAATGTTAATGCGCGTGATAATGGCAGATCGTGTGCACACACGAATGAGCTCGCCCGCTTGTGTGTCGTGACGTGTCCCCATAATTCAATTACCGCGCGGATCAGTTGTCAATAACTGCGCTGTCGGAATCTCGTTCCGAATGGATGTACATTTTCGCGTCGTTTTCAGGATCAACTTCTAGACGACAGGGCGAGCGAGTCTCACGTTTCTTCTCATGTGAAAAATTAATATAAAAGTTATTATATAAATTATTAATATAAAATTAATATAAAAATTATTATATAAATTACTAGTATAAAAAACACATAAACACACGTATAACATACGATGCTGCAAACGATGTCAACTCTCGGTGGCACCGTCAAGATTCAAACATCAGTTCGGTCTGGGATCTCTTTTCCACGCGGTTCCGACTATTTATAAAAGTTAATTCCTCGTTTTATTTCCTTCTTGAAATCTTCCACAAAAGAAAAGTAAGAGAATTTACCCATTTTCCTCTAATAAAATAAACCGATCCGTCCACTCGATCGATACCGCGATGGTGCACCGAGGATCAATTTAGAGTAGTACGTGCGAAAAAATAGTCCTTCAAAATTGCTTCGTTAGTTTCTGGTGCCTAGAATTCCTGCGGAATTTCCCCATGCGCTTCGCAGTAATCCAGCACTCGCTCTCCCGAGGTAGAACGCGTCGCGCGCATAAAATGAGAGACGGCGGCTGTCTCGAATATATGTATTTTATTATACATACATTAATGAAAATATATACATGGTAGACTGCGGCTTCTCGAAGCAGCGAAGTGTCAATATAATTAGCTACAGTATTCGTACGCGCGAATCTGTTTTTCGACGACGTCCTCTCGATAGCCGAGGTCTGTCGAGGTTTCGGGAGGCACGTGTAGGCCGACACGTGTAGACCATGGGATGTTGTACGTAAAACGTTTCTTTTTTTCCGCTTCCTCTCTTTTGGTTATCGGAGTCCCCGTTATCTCCCAAACGAGGGATGCGTTCAAATAACGGTCGATCCGCCCGACTCGACCCGATTCGATCCGACTCGACGGCGAATCGGTTTGCGTATGTGTGTGTGTGTGTGTGTGTGTGTGTCGCGCTATCACGAGACTGACCGTGTCAATCCGTCGAAACACGCAGCGGGTACCAGAATACTTTCGCTGACTTCGATTAATATCTCAATCTTTGTCTCTCTTTCACACCCTCTCTCGCCCTTTCACTCTTTTCACTCTCACTCTCGCGTTTCTCTCTCTCGCTCTCGTACGCTCGCTCGCGCGCTCGCTCACACACTCTCTTTCTCTCTCTCTCTCTCTCTCTCTCTCTCTTTCTCTTCCTATTCTACTTACACAGCCAGACAATTGCTCGATCACTCGGCATCAACGCTTCGATCTCTTATCCCCTTAATTATCGTTACAACACGTTTCAACGGTCACAACTGCGGATGATTATTACAATCGATTAAACTGTAAGTGGCGATCATCGAAAGGTGATGGTATTTCGTCTCATACCCCTGCCCCCTCCGCCCCATCCGTTTGCGAACGTTACAGACGGATGTCACGATCTGAAAATCGTCAGCCAGTTCCGCAGGCTCGAGGTCATCGGGGGATTCCCGGCCACGGGCTCTCTCGCGTCTCCTCCTCGTCCGCTCGTCGTCGTCTCGCTCGAGTCCCTCGAACGACGACGACGTCGACGACAACAACGACGATCGCCATCGGATCCACGCCTCGATGGCGATGATTAATTACTAACGACGACCGTCGACGCGACAAGGACGTCCCCGCGAGTTTCCGCTCGCTCGGAAACTCGCGGATCTCACCGTCTACGCGCACAACACGACCCCGTCCGCTGTCGCCCCGGCGTCGAGCCGAGCTTAGGTTCAGCCAAACAACACATTGTGTACGAGCGTTACGATCTGTCGCCCGGGGGAGAGCTCGCGTCCCGCGGCGAACGGTAACCGCGTCAACGACAATTCTTCTCTTTTTTTTTTTTTCAGATACAGATTAGCTTTGTTACATTTCAGGCACTGCGATTGACTTTTTGTATCTCGAGCTTGGCTCGCGCTCGAGCGGCAGCGGTGCGCTTTGCTCGGGATCGTCGATCGCTCGCTCGCTCTCCTTCTTCCCGTCTCTCTCTCTCTCTCTCTCTCTCTCTCCCTCTCTCTCTCTCTCTCTCTGTCGCAGGAGACCGTCGCAGGGCGAAGGTTCGCTCTTCGCTTCGAGTGTCACGTGACGGTCCGTCGAGTCTCCGGATGGAACTTGCACAATCGCGACTTTGAGACTGACTGCGAGAAGCCCATTGCGAAGACTCCTCCTCATCCTCGTTTCTTCGACGAGCGGAGAGAGAGAGAGAGAGAGAGAGAGAGAGAGAGAGAGAGAGAGAACAGTCGACGGAGAGCGACCGATGCGATCCGCGGAGCGTGGAACGATCGCGTCGGGGGATGCTTTTCTCCTCCGACAGGGGAGGAGGAGAAATCGCGCGACGCGCTCGCTCGCTCGCTTGCCCGCGTGTCGCGGGATGCAGCGGCGGCGTGTATGCCGTGTCATTTGCGATTCACGTCATCGTGCGCGAGTAACGTACAGAGATTGCTTAATTATTAACTTGACTTCGAACGATACGTTACAATGATCACGTTATTTCCACTAGGGATGACATGCAGCGTATAAAACATATCTTATCTATATATTTATTTTTACTGGTGTATATATCTAGGTTGCCGCATCCGTTATTTCTTCTTCTTCTTCTTTTTTTTTCTGTGACACGCTATGCTCAATATATGTATACGCGGGTACGTCTCTTACACGCTACCAATGATTAACAGTCGATACTTCTTCTTCCTCCGTCCCCCTTCTGGCCTCCCTCACGTACACACTCCCCATCTCTTATCTCTCGCCGCCCTTTTTCTTTCTTCATAACGCAACGGCACACGCCATGTATCGTGTTGGTCGGGTTCGCGCACGTTGCGCGCGCGATACCGCGAATCAAAGACAGAGAAAGGAAAACGAGGTGCGTCTCGCGTGGCGTGATATTGCACTTCGAAATACTGGACCGCTTGAAATCTCGCCTTTCGCCTCTCCGTTTCCGGCGTTTCTTCGTCCCTTTTTCTCTTCTCGTCTTATCTGTGTTTCCTTCCTTCTCTCTCTCTCTCTCTCTCTCTCTCTCTTTCTCTCCTTCTCCTCTTCGCGTCACTCCGCTTTCTTTCCTTTTTGGTCTTTCACCGGCCATAAACTCTTCTGCGCTTCTCCCGGTCTCCCCGTAAAAATCTGGCAAGAGTACGCCTCTAAAAATATATATATAGCCAATGTGTGTGTAGAGTGTCTTTTATTCAAAATAAACTTTGTCGACTCGAACCCAAATGTTCCGTGTCGCGAGAACTTCGAGGGAACCGGCGCCGTGAGATTTCCTCCCCGTGCGCGCAATCAAATGTACGGAGAATCGCGATCCACAAGTGTGTGTTTCTTCGTCGGTTTCCCGAGCAGGAGGACGTCCGCTTCCCCCATTTCTCGGTGAACCGTATCGATATCTCAGCGCATCTCTTAAATAAGCTGCTTGCCTTTACAGCGCATCCACGCGCAAATACCGTACCGTGTGCGCGCCTCGAACAGTAACCGTAATCCGGTCGAGAAGCTATGCCGATCTCTCTTTGCGAGAATCGGATTTTACACGCGCTGGATCAAGAATCAAACGTCTATTTCTTTCTACTTTTCTCTCTCTCTCTCTCTCTCTCTCTCTCTCTCTCTTTTCGGTTTCTCTGCCTCTTTCGGTCTGCCTTTCGTTTCATTATGCGTTTGTTCGGTTTGTTTCTCACCATCGGACACATCGTCATTGTATCCGTCACGGAGTATCCGGGCTCAGTTCGCGAAAATCGCAGGAGATCGCAGATCCGCATCGCGATACGTCCGTGACGTGTTCGGCTTCGTTACACCGCCGTCATATACGTTATACTTTTTTTTCTTTTTTTTTTATATAACCTAGGCTTAAAAAGTAAAAACCAGCCGGCGTGTCTCGTCGCCGGCGCGAAGTTAATCGATTTTTAACACATTAACGCTTTGATTCGTTTGTCAGTCTGTGCTCTCCTAGTCCATGACAAGTTAAAAAACGAACAAAAAAAAAAATATATATAAAAAAAAATAAAATAAAAGAGAAAGGAAAAACAAAAAGGAAAATATGTCCAGGGCCTGTCGAGGAGAAAAGGAGATTTTTTTTTCCTTTACATTAATATACTCGTAGGTTACGAGTCGCGGACGGAATACCGTCTGTCCGCGAGTCGATATTAAAATGCATCTCTTCTCGAGTGCCACCGCCGACGCGCCAGCAGCGGTGGTCCCCGCCGCGAGTCTTTTGAAAGACGATACTCGAAGAACGTCTCTCTACCTCTCTACTTTGCATTCATCCTCTTCTTCTCCTCTTTTCTCTTCTCTCTCTTCTCTCTCTCTCTCTCTCTCTCTCTCTCTCTCTCTCTCTCTCTCTCTCCCTCCCTCTCTCTCTTTCTTTTCACTAACTCGAGTGTCCACAATCACAATAATACGTCGAAATTTTCCGTCATTGGAGACTGAATTGTGCGCCATTGAGTTGCGGCGATTGAAATTTCGCGACACGCGTTCTCTTACGAAAGGAAAGAAATTCGTAGGTGTCGCTCGGCAATCGTGTACGCGCGCGATCGTTAATACTTGTTTTCCCTTTATTTCTTTTTTTTTTTAACAGACACCGAGAAAAATGTTTTATGGTTTTTTTCCCCTTCCGAACCGAAACGTTCGCGTTATGACGTGTTGACGTTTCGTGTTTCCACTACACGATAAAACGATAGTAATATCCTAATATCACGACGAGATTCGATTCGCGGTTTACTATATCGTGTTATCCTTTTTCGTGTATCTCTTTTTTTTTTTACGTTTTCTTTTTTCTCGTTTATCAATAGCATTAGAGGCAGTGTTCGTTGAGAAACTGCTACGGGTACACACGTGCACACATACACACGCATACCCGCTCGCCCGACCGGGATGCGTATGCGTGCGCGCGCGCGTGTGTGTGTGTGTGTGCATGGAAGTGAATTTTCTTCGGATACAATTCTCACGTAATTATACCGAGCTCTCGTCGCCAGCCCGCTCCCACTTCGCTGCTAAAGTCCTTTTTTTCCTTTCGTGGCGCGCCTGTCGTCGCGCGCCTGTCGTCGTGCGCGGGCGTATCGTTTTAATATATTTATAAGATATTTATGCATATCTCAAAATAAGTATCTCGCGCTTATCGACCGGCACGAATCGATAAAGCTGCTTGTGTAGAGCTCGCTAGCTAAAATACACAACGCGCGTGTCCACACACACGGCGAGCGCGTCCTGTAAAACGCGTCTAATCGAAAAATGTCGCGAGCGCGTGCCTTTCTAAATATGTCGCTCGGCGACCGGAGTGTCGTTGGCGCGAGTCAGCGCGCCGTCGTTCCTTGACAAGCGTGATGCCAAATGAGGATCATCACAGAAACAATATCACTAAGGAAACCTGAGAATTTCTTTCCTTCGCAGACTACTTTCCGCACGTAATAACCGAGGATAGCAACGATGCGCGTACTATTGCGATAACAGAGTACAAATAGAAATAATCGTCAATAGTAACAGCGGTAGTGGTGGTGGTGGTGGTGGTGGTGGTGGTGGTGGTGGTGGTGGTGTGGTGGTGGTGGTGTGGTGGTAGTGGTGGTGTGGTGGTGGTGGTAGTGGTGGTGGTGATGGTGATGGTGATGGTGATAGCAATAGTAGTTGAAGTAGAGTAGTGGTAATAGTAGTAGTGGTAGTATAGTACAGTAATAGTAGTAGTTGAAGTAGAGTAGTAGTAATAGTTGTAACAGTAGTAGTGGTGGTGGTGGTAGTGATGATGATGGTGGTGGTACTGGTTGTTGTGGTGATAATGTGGTAGTGGTAGCGGTGATAGTGATGGTTGTAGTGGTGGTGTTGGTGATGGTAATAGTAGTAGTGATAGTAGTAGTAATAGTAACAGTAGTAGCGGTAGTAGTAGTTGTAGTAGTTGTAGTAGTGATAGTAGTAGTAGTAGTAGTAGTAATAGTAGTAGTAGTAGTAGTAGTAGTAGTAGTAGTAGTAGTAGTAGTAGCAGTAGCAGCAGCGGTCGTAGTTGTAATTGCAGTAGTAGCAGCAGTGGCTGTGTTACGGTGATGGTGACGTACTTCACTCGTTGCGTATGGAACTCGAATCGATTTAAGGATTTGGGATTGACAACGTGTCCTGTCAATCTCACTGTCAATGACGGGCGGCGGCCAGAGTGTCACTTGTTCCTCTGGTGACCGTCAGAGAGAGGTCCCACAATCGCCGGCGGGTTAGCCGGCGACCACCGATAAGAGTCCACTAATCCCGTCGGTACGATCGGACGATTTACTTCGGAGTCAGTTGAAGGCAGAATCACAGAATGACGCAGCACCGACAGTATCGTGGTCGCGAGGCTCCTGCACTGGGCGGAGGAGTCACCGGTGCAAAATACGCGTGCACCTTTATGTTGGGTAGATGGGTCTGGAACACGGAGAAACGATCGTTCTTGCATCGGACACGTCGAGAAGAAAAGTATGTAGATTAGATTATTAAATCAACAGGTTACTACCCGGAATTGCGTGCGCGCACGCGAGATTGCTCTATGTACGATCGCGACGACAGTTTGTGTGGATGAAATGCACACGCGGAGGAAGTAGAGGAGACCGAGGCGAAACAGCTGGGTTGAAGTGCTGCGGCAGTATTTAATGATACAACGTCCGCGGCGCGTACGTTAAGAGCGTGATTTACCAGCGAACCAGGAAAAAGCGACATTAATTATAGCACCGTTTCGCGGAGTATCGTAATTAAGTCAGAGATTATACTTCTCGTTCGCGGTAACGCGATATGTAATTCATAAACCGTTGCGTGATACGCAAATAACGTAGCTCCGCTGAGCGTAACGTTACACGGGAAAATGTCGTTTCCTTCTACGCGCGGGCGTGGGTTCGTGCAGTCGGCCGGATATAAAATGATAATAGAGAAACGGGACAATACTCTGAGTCTACGTATGCCAGCTCTGGTGATCAGTTGGCAGTCGTAAAGCTCAATACGCTCAAGATTGTGGCAGGCCTGCAGCAGGTGATCCAGGCTGGCGTCCGTGATAAGCGGGCAGTTGTCCAGCTCCAAGACGGCTAGGTGTTCCGCCGCGCACGGCGACAGGGCCAACTGGCGGATACCCTCGTCGGTGATCAGCTCGCAATGCGACAGACTCTGAACAGACAAAGAACAGACAAAGAAAAAAAAGAAAACGATTAAATCAAGTAAGATACAAGAAAAGAGAAAAAGAATGATGTGCCAGCATACTCACCAGTTTCTCCAATCGCGGACAACCCATCGCGAGGTGAATGAGGGTAGCGTCGGTTATTAAAAGGCACTCTTCCAGATCCATCTTCTCGAGTAGTCTGCAGTTCTGAAAGTTGGAAAGTCGAATGGAGGAGGGAAGAAAAGCGATTTGCGTTTTATACGGGCGTTGTAAGAGACGCGAGCACGAGCCAGGTGCGCTCGCGGAGCACCTCGACGACGGCGGGATGCGCGAGCTCAACTCACCTTCGCGAGAGCCTGAAAGCCCGCGTCCGTGAAATGGGTGCACCCGACGCACTCGAGTACACTGAGAAGTGGACAGTGTTGTGCCAGAGTGACCAACGACGCATCCGTTAAATTGGGGCAATTCGACAGGCAAACGTAATGCAGCCGTGGGCACTGCTCGCTGAGTTCTCTAACTGCATCGTCTGTTATATTCTGCAACAACAAGGATCGCACAGAATGATCTTTGCCCCCGTCGCTTGCGCTCTTCGCACCAAGAATTCTCTCATGAATAATGAAGCACGGCGCGGGAGAATGAAAACTAATCGCCTCAAGTCCGGGTGCTGATCGGTCGCCGACGGCAGTGCGCGCGGCTCGAGGTTTCTCGAATATCGCCCACGTTATCGCGATCTTGGATCCCCGCTCGAGAGAGAGAGAGAGAGAGAGAGAGAGCTTATTTAATATATTTCGCTTTCTACTGGCCGGCGCGAGAGAGCGACTTCTCTCTTGCCGCCGTCTCTTTCTATCTTCGTCGCTGCTATTAAATCTAATTCAAACTGTAAATACGCTGTTCCGCACCGGCGGGTTCTCCTCTCAATTTTCTCCGCTCGAAGAAGAAGAAAAAAATAATGAAAACGAAGGGAAAGGAGAAAGAAGAGATATCGCGCGCTGTCTTTATTACGAGACAGGGGGAGGCGAGTAAGACGCACGTTGCGCGTCCTCTCCTTATCTCCCGCAACGAGAAACGCAACAGCGATATCTCTCGTCGGCGACAAATCCGGCCGGCGGCGCAACCGCGCAGAGGCAAACGGCAATTGTATTTCTCATTCTCCTTCCCTCTGCTCTCTCTCTCTCTCTCTCTCTCTCTCTCTCTCTCTCTCTCTCTCTCTCTCTCTCTCTCTCTCTCTCTCTCACGGTCGTCCTATGCCCCTCTGTCCCAGCGTAACGCGGATTTGCGGAGTCAATGGGATAAGTACCCGGCATTCGTGTAGATTGATTGCTTCGAGATTAGGACAATAGCGCGCTAAACACTTTACAGCCCGATCCGTCAGCTGGCGGCATCCCTTGCTGAGGAAGCTACGAAGTTCCGGGCAACCCCTGGCGAGCGCCTCCACCCCGTTGTCGGTGAGCAGCTCGCACCACGAGAGGTTGATGTGAGTGAGCAACGGGCAACCGTCCGAGAGATCCTTGAGGGAAATGTCCGTTATCTCGGGACAGGAGTCCAGATTCAGTCGCTGGAGCTTGGGGCAATGACTACTGAGAGCCGCGCAGGTCGCGTCCGAGATCTTCTTGCACTGGCTCAGATTAAGCTCCTCGATATTAGGACACGATTGGGCTAAGGTACGCATCGAGTTGTTGCCGATGCTCTGGCATCCCCTGAGGGAGAGCTGCCTGAGGAATCCGCCGCAACGCCTCGAGATATTTTCTATTACTGGTCCCTGCGCACACAGACAGACAGACAGACTGAGGATAGGTGTGTGTGTGTGTGTATGTGTATAGCCATCGCGTTTTCTTTCTTTTTTCTTCCCGCTCTTTAATAATTGAATCCCCCGGAGAAGAGTTCGGGAGATCGAGCCACCGCGAGGTGCAATCTTTTTGTCTGTATGTGTTATTACCTCCACGTCTCGTTGAAAGTCGAAGAGATCGATCCTCTGCCAATTGGACCCATCGAGCGCTAATACGTTCCAGGCCTTGCTTACTTGGGCACAACGGCATAGCGATACGACATCGAGGTACGAAAGAATTCTGTCAATCACAGCTTTCGTTAGAGCGCCAGGCATTTTTCCTGTGCGGTGTAATACGTGTGTGTGTGTGTGTGTGTGTATGTATGTCTGTGTGAGTTTGTGGGTAGGTGCGTGTGCAAGAGTGTATGCACTTCACGCGGCACTTAACGCCTTGCGAACTTGGGATGTGTAGACTCGAGTTGTTCGCGAGACTAATGGGACGTAACGTCTACGCGCTTTATGCGATCGCCGGTAAAACGACGTGCGCCGCGAAAGCGAGGGCGAGCGCGTTAAGCGAATTTTCATCTCGCGGAAAGAGCGAGGACACGCATGAGCCCAAATATTCGAGCAAAATATCCGCATCTCTTGCGCGCCGGCTGTCGGGGACGCTGTCGATTCGCGAATCTTGGACGGGTGAATCTTCAATTCCGAACGTACGTCGCAAGGTCCAAAAGTTGTCGCCTCGTAGAATAGAAATAGAAGTGACAAGATGAAACACGATCGTTTCGGCTTTTGCGGAAAAACTAATTCGTCTCTCTGAAACACTGTATCGAGAGGCAAAAGACGGACAAGATGGTTGTCTCGTCCCGCCAGGATTTTCATGTCCTCAGGCTTGGCAATTTTCGGGTCTTACCACGCGTTGCACATGCATCGCGATGATTTCGCAAATTGCAAATTTGCACGACCAGTGCACCGAGCGTTCGTATTTGCAATTTGTGAGGCAAGCTCGCGGCGCGATCAAACGCGCGACGCAACGCGCGAACAGGCGTCTCTCTCCTAGGGTGACCATATGTACTCTTTTTAAGGTGGTAAAAAGAGTACTCTCTACTTTTTACGTATCGCACTCTTGTATATACTCTTTTCTCGTAATGTTAATTATACTTTGTCGATGTAAATGACCGGAGAGCAGACTTCGGTGACGTTTTTGTCACTCCCAGCGTTTGAGCGCCGCGAGCGCCAATACCGATTATGCGTGGAGGTTCTGCGCAACTACCGAGCCACAATGCAAACGTAGAAAGAGTTTTCAGTACGGATGAACGGTCTCAATGGACTGATAAAAGAGATAGGTTGGTACTGTTGACTCGGTAAAAAGTTTATTAATGGTTAAATATAATTATGAAGAATTTAATTGTTCTGAATCTTACGATTATTGTCTAAACAATAAGAAATTGTTAAGCAATGTACGACGGAGTAGTGCAAGATATAATTATAAAATATCTTAATAATACATATAATAAAATATATGTGTCCGACTATTTCTCGGTTTATTTAGTACCCACTATGTTTTATTTTAAATATTGTACCTAGTAATCCATTGATCATTGTCCCAGATAAAACACAAAATCATTTTGACGTCAAAATGACACAATTTTTATATTATTTGACGTCACCTTGACTTTTATACGATTTTGTGCTCTACTTACTGTACTCTTTTGGGACCGTAATTAGTACTCTTTTATACACTTTTTTTTTTTACCCTCTTTACGTCTCTTACTCTTTTTTTATGACTGGGATATGGTCACCCTAGTCTCTCTCCCATACTTCCACCACCTCCATCCCCTTCCGCTCCCATTGTCGCGAACCGATTGTCCCCGGCTGATAACATTAACGACTAGCGCGGATACAACCGAGACAACGTTCTGCCCCCGTTCTCAAGGCGCCTCGAGCTCTCTCGTGCAATCGTCCATATCCGCGCACGGCTGTCGTCGTACCTGAGTAGTAATTCTTTTGGCAGTTTCTTGTTAATCTGCGCCTCGTCATCGTGAAACACCCATGTTAGCTGCAACGAAACACAGAGACACGTGATTACGAGGCGGGCCGTGCTCGCGTTATCATCACACTCGCGAGCGCGCGAGCGACAAACGCGCGACGGACGACGCCACAGAGGGAAAAGCCGCTGCTGCCACGCTGATGATACGTTCCGTCTCCGTCGTATGTGCACGTCGGTGGGTACAGGAGGAGGGAGGGAGCACGCGGAAGGAGGATGACGATGACGGTGGTGTGCGGCCGGACGGGGTGGAGGTGGATAACGCGCGTTAGACACTTTATGGCGCGGTGTGTATTATACAGCAAAGATCGGAGGGATCGTGAGAGGAGGGCGGGGGGGGGGAGAGGAGGAGGAGGGTCTTTACGGGGGGCGCGTAAAGCTAGCGCATTGACATGCCCGACGGAGTCTAGATTAACCAACCTGCATGTAGGATTGCTTCATGGTAGTGACAGGGTTGTTGTGAGTGTGCGATTGCGATGTAGAGTAACCGGCCTGATGATGATAATGGTGATGATGTTGGCGATGATGATGATAATAGGAAGGATGCTGCTGCCGCCACCATTGTCCGCCGGAACCGGAATCTTGGACCGCCTGCTGGCCGACCTGGCCGCCCCTTCCTATCACTCCCACGCGACTTACTTTTTTCTAGAACACATCCCAACGAGAACGTGTGTCATCGCGCGCGCATCGCCCATCCTCCTCCCTCCTCGTCCTCGGCAGTGCTCTTTCTCTCGAGACGCTCCGGAGAAAATCGGCGACGAGACCCGCGAGAAAATTCCCGGACACGTTCCCAGACACATTCGCGCGCCCGCGTTCGCGTCTCCTCGCGTCGTCATCTTCCCCGAGAAAGAGAGAGAGAGAGAGAGAGAGAGAGAGAGAGGGGGGGAAGTCGCCGAATCACCGAGGCGCGACTCCGCGAGCGGCGGCGCGCGGCCGGATTTCGCACGGCTTGCTCGAGCGCGAAAGTCGCCCCCCCCTCCTCCCCTCCGTCTGCTCTCGCGTACGAATAGTACAACGTAATCTTCGTATTAATTATGATAATTGCCGATTCTAATAGTCGCGCTAATAAGCACACGCCGGATTGCGGTGTAACATCTGCGACCTTTTCGCTTCGCCCCTCCTTTCGCGCGGATTCGTATCCCGCCGATCCCGATGCGAACAATAGCGTGTGCAAAGTCGGGGCTCGAGTGATATTAGGCTCATGTTGGAATTCGCAAGCGGATATCGATATCGTGCTCGCGATCTCGTACGGGCGTTGGGCGCGTTTCCAGAGGACCAGACGTACACTCACGCACTCACGCATGCACGCAACACATTGTTAGTAACATCGGTGCTTGATTAACGCGTACGCAACCACCGCCGACGCGTACGCGTATCTCGTATCCTTTATTAATTAGCGTGGAACGCTCACATTATCCATCCTCCCGTCGCCGTCCGGCTGTTCGCCGCCGCTCGGCGACGGATTGCCGCGACTCGTCGAGAGGACGCGACGCGTCTCGTCTCGTCTCGTCTCGTTTCGATTCGTCTCGTCGCCGGAATTACGCCGGCGACCTTACGTGCGTGCGCGCGCGCGCGCGCGCGAGCGGAGAGAAAGAAGATTGCTGGCTTTAGGCCGCTTTCGCACTATCCGTCTGGACGGCGGCAGGGCCGAGACACGGTCAAGTCTCCACGTGGAATTTGTCTTTCACCGGGAATGCTTCTGATGCGTCGGGTGGCGGTCACTCAATGGCGTGCAAACCGCGATGCAAAAGCGCCGAAGAATGTCTTCGCCGAGGCTAGGCGGAGGCCGCCTAGATAGATAGTGCGAATCCGGCTTTAATGTGACGGCGCGGCGCGCGAGGCGAACGCGCTTCGGCCGAAGGAGACGGAATTTCCGGCACGTGGGAGAGCAAATTTGGTTCACACGGATGCACGGAGGAGATAGAATTCCCAAAAAGGATCAGAAATCTCGTTCCCTTCGATTCCAAACATATCACGTCCGTCGCCGCGTTAATCCGCGACCGATCTTCTTCTTTCGCTCCTCCGCACGACCCATGCCGCGCCGCGATCGCGTCCTCAGCGACGAGAAATATGCAAAGTTCCCGCTCGATTATCCGGCGAGTTAATAGAAAGCGCGATACAAAGCGGCGAAGAGCGTTCGCCGGATACGGTGGGATGCTGCGTGCAGCGGTACACACCCGAGGTTTTCGCAAGCGCGCGCGAGCCGTTCTCGAATGAATCTTGAATGTATCTTCCTCTTGTTCCCTTGCCCCCCTCCTCCACCCATCGCCGCCGCCGCCGCCGCCGCGCCCTCTCCTTTTTTCTTTTCTCCACGACGCAACGTTTATCCCGGAAAAATGGAAACTGGCTCTGCTGTGTGCATGGCGTATGCGTATGTGTATGTGTGTGTGTGCGTGTGCGTATTGCACGCATGCATATGTAAGAACGTATTATAATGACGAAAAAATGTATATATAACGAGTCACTTTACATGCTCGTGTGTCTTACGGTGAGACAACGTAACGTACACCGCACGCACGTGTAGTGGCACCGTACTTATGTAATACAAATACGAATGTACTACATGCCTAATGGCGCGACGATTGCGCAACGGCGACTTCGATCGGTGCGTCTGTTAATTGGAAAGTACAAGCTATGCATAATACGCAGTCGCGTATTTGACAGGAAAGTTCGGCGGGAAAGTGCGAGGCGGAGAGATTTTGCCAAAGCTTACGCTGTGGATCGCGCGCGCATTCGCGCAATGTTAGCGTTAATTAATGTGGAACCATCGGGCCGTAATAGATGTAAGATGATTGGGGATTAATTATGCGCCGCATTATGTAAGCATCGTTCCCGAGCAATGCTCGAGATGGAGATACGCCCACCGCGCGCGCGTAACGGCGCGGCCGCGCGCACCAAGATCGGGCTTGAAGGCGCGTGCGATCGAAATAGAAAAACTATTTTCCCACTCGATAGCCGCGCACGAAGGATAGCCTTTTGTATATCTCTCAAGGATAGAGCCCGATGATGGCTAGGCTGTCAACGTTAAAAATACATGCAATAAATTCGTCGTCCGCTCGTGTTCGGCTCGTCGCCGCATATCGCCGGCGCATATAGAAATCATTCGCAAACTAGGGGCGGGTTAAGGCGGAGGGAAGAAGCGCCTCTGCTGGTTTCCGCGTAAGCAGTATATACGATGAGGATGGGAGGCGTAATGCAGGGTGGCTGAAAATTATCAACGTTTACGGCACAAGATTGTGCACAACACAATGTCTCCTCCGCGCGAACGTTCATTTACTTAACGTCGATCTCGACGAAAACCCGTTTCTTTTTTGGCTTCTCGCGCGAGAGAAACGAGAGACGGTTAATCTGAAATTGATACCTGCGTGAACGACATTGCAGGGAGATAGAGAGAGAGAGAGAGAGAGAGAAAAAGAGAGAGAGAGAGAGAGAGAGAGAGAGAGAGAGAGAGAGAGAGAGGGAGGGAAGGAGGGAGGGAGGGAGTGAGGGAGAAAGGGAGAGAATGAAGAAAGAGGCGGAAAAAAGGGGAGAAAGACACGCGGAGAAAGAGAAAGAAAGAGAGAGAGAGAGAGAGAGAGAGAGAACTTGTAAAATTTGGAGAGGGAGAAAGAGAGATCATAAGTATATATAACAGTTTGAAACAGATATACGTTTTATTAAGCAACACACGTGTGTGTATATATTTATAATATTAATACGAGGTAGAGGAAAAGAGAGGAAGAGAAAAAAGAAAGAGAAAGAAAGAGGGCGAGAGAGCGGGAGGAGGAGAAAGAGAATCGGTACGACGGGATGCTCCGAATGTAAAAGGCGAGTCTGCGATGAAGAAACACGAGGTAGAGTTTGCTCGTCTTTCCGCAGACGGGACGCCTCGTACACGAGGAATGCTCTGCCGGAGAACTCGCTATATTAGTATCGTCAAATTACATGAATATGACGCATGACTTATACGGGAGTTTTACAACTTACAAGCGTGGCGCGCGTCGGTCGTGCGCGAACGTTTACTTATTTAACGCCAATCGTGGCATCGAGGAGGGGGGGAAGGGGCACCGTTTCTTCGGCGATGAAAACGGTTAATCCGAAATCGATAGTGCGCGCGCGAGCATTATTGCACACGCGCGGCAATCCATAAAATTTAAAACAGCGTATAAATTTGGACCTTTTCGCACATACGCTTCGTCGCGGCGTATGACTATACGCAGCTGACAATGTCGTTTCTTTTCTCATTCCTTTCCTTCTCCCCGAGAGGCATTTTCGTACACGACGACAAATGCAGCCAATTCCTTCACGCTTTAAGCAGCACGGCATTTCGCACGACAGCGCGCTTCGACGCGTTCTCACGACGAGACTAATACACGTCGCACACACACACACACACACACACACACACACACACACACACACACACACACACACACGAGTACCCCTACAACAAAAAAAAATAAAAAAAGGGAGGGATTAAAAAATGCGTGCGTGCACCAGGAGACGCGAGTGTCGCGTCGTGCGAAATACGTAAAACAACGTAAAACAACACGCTTGCATCCGGATATAACGGGCACCTGCGCGGGATCATCGAAGGATTCTCCCACCGATCGTGCGCTCGATAAGATTACACGCCGATAAGAAAACACTCGGAATCCCGAGTCTTATCAGTCGTGGGATTTTCCGGCGACGCGTACGTCGTGTCGCATCGTGCGTCGAATTCTCGCGTACGTGTGCGCGTGTGTTCACGAACGTTTCTATTATCATTACTACAATTGTCATTGTTGCTACCACACACACAGCACGAGCGAGCGAACGTCTCGCGCGAATATCTCCGAGAGAGCTGATCCAAATTTTCGACCGCGACTATAGCGGCCGAGATTTCACGGGCGGTTTTGTCTCGGACGCGGGACGCGTTCGCGGTCGCGGGCCGGAAAATGATCAATTTACCTTTCGGGCTTCGCGAGACTCGCGCGGTACAACGCGCGAAGGTAAACCGAGAGGCTAGTCTGACTTCGCTCGACGGCCGCGAAATTGGGATACGTTATTTCGTCGTTGCACGCGGGCGAGCTCGCGCGCCGTCCTTGGCCGACGACTCAGCTCTAGGAACGCTTTTATCAATAATGACCGCGGTAAATGCATGGATCGCGGACGGCTCTTCAAACTTCCATGCCTTATCGCATGAAGTATGTACGGGCACTACATAAAATTATACAGGATAACGAGCCGCGGACCGGGAGCGATAGCCATCGATGCGACGGAGATACGCGACTGCGTTCGGCCTTAAACCGTAGAATACGAGCGCGGCCTTGTGAATAATTGTGAGTAGTAGCGTCGTAATCCGCGGATCGTCCGTGACGCGGCCGAAACTGCGAAAACAGCCCTGCGCGGCAGAGAGAGAGAGAGAGAGAGAGAGAGAGAGGGGGGAGAGGAAGAAAGAGAGATTCGATTCCGCTCTAGATTCCAAATATATTGCGATTCGCGCGTCGTATCCGCGTATAGGTATTGTCCGCTCGCCTAGACGAAGCCGCGCGAACGGGAGAATTTTATATTTTTAGGGCTGCACGTGCGTTAGCCTGAAAAGTCGAAATCCCGACATTTGCAAACTGGGACAATTTCCCGAAAAGTCGTAACAGCAAAATCCGCCAAAATCCTGAAATCCAATT